ATTTTGACTGCTTTTATAAATTCAAATATATTTTATGGAAAACATGCACAAAAAAATCATTTCTTATAGTTGTTTGATAGAAAATGACGCCTTCTTTAAATTTTATACTCAAAGAAAGAGTTATCTTTCGGATTTAAGAAACAGTTGCTCAGTTGCCGTTTAATTTTCTAACCCAGCGACCGCTACAGTCGAATTCAAGGTTTAAGAACCGCGCACTGTGTACATCCTGTTTAAAGAAAAGTACGTTTTCGCCTACAGTTTGAGCAAGAAGTCATATAGGCCTCATAAAATATTGAAATAGAAGTGGAACATCTTTTATGCAGTATAGGCAGCATTAATAAATTGACGGATACGATGTTTTATGAATAAACACCTCACCCTTGTAAAAAAGCTCATAATTGGTCAGAACGAAGCTCGTTAAAAAGCCCGCATCCTATCATGACTTAAATAACTTCAGAATTGACTTCACGATAATCAGTATCACAACCTGAGTCAATGGCGATTAGCGAAGTAGTATCAGTCTTTCGCATATGTCGACATGTTGTGTGATCTTCGGCGACTACTGTAATTTTAGCAGATCTCTTATATGGGCCTGTTTGGCACCCATAAGCGAGGCATGCATAACCGGATGGCAGTCGCCTCTGCTACTGCTAGCAAACACTGACATAAGGGCTTGGCTTAGTTCGGTAGACCTGAAAACTAACGCGGAAAGGGTCGTTTGTATTCAACAGCGAGGGTTAGGGTAGTATTGTCGACCAATCAATTTTTACCTCCGGACGGCAGGGATAAGTTTTCAGACCAGACCACCTCCATATGAATGTCCACCTATACTTGCTCCAGTGGTGTAGGTTATAAGGGTCGGATAAGGCGGTGCCTATCTAAAAGAAGCTGGAAGTTTAATTTTACCTCCCAGAGCAGCTTAGGTTTTCGCACAGTGGCTGACTTAGTACTTAAGAGTAGGCATGTTTTCTTTAACATGTAAAACTTAGTATGCCATCTTCGCCAGCGTGTATGCCTGCTTACTTCGACACATGTTCCATTCCGACATATGAATGATCACTCTGACCCCTGACGAAAATTTAATTAGGCATTTAGGCAGAGGTTTTATTGGTAGTACACCTTATATTCGCTTAGCCTCATGCTTCTGTCTTACGGTTTATTGTAACCTTGTGTGTTCTTTTGTCAACATCGGTCATGTCCCCCAGCTACGATTTAGGAAGAGAAGGCAGAATAGGAGATCTAATCGTACTTTAATGCCAGCTGTACTAGTATATCAGCTCTGTTCGTATGTTTCTAGCAGCTTGTGTTCTGTGGTCGGTCTCGTCTCGGCAGCAGTCTCTCGTATAGGGCAACAGAGTCTCGGGTCGTCGGCAGCGTCTCCAACAACAGAGTGCTGTATGCAGCTCGGTGGTGTCTGCACCTGGGTCCTGTCTGCAGCATGTTAGTGTCTGCATCTCGGTCTATTGCCTCTGTTGCTAGTTAGTTTTAGGTTTAGAGTAAGGGTTAGATCCAGGGTAAGCGTTAAGGTTTGAGATAGTGGTTGGGTAAGGGTTAGGTTTGGGGTAAGCGTTAGGGTTAGGGTAAGGTTTAGGGGCAAGGGTCGTTTAAGTAGTGCATCCAATATATGCCTAGTCCCAACATTTCGTCCGAAGGTTGCGCTTGTTATAGCGGTTTCGGGGGTGAAGAAGAAAGACAGGCAATGAAGGAAATTTGTGAAGTAAGTTCAAAGTGGGAAAATGTAGTTGCATTTGATTTCCGCGGCCGCTGGGAGTAAGTTGTTCCGCATGAAAATAGATGATGTGCGCGGTGATTCGCGCCGCAGTCTACTAATCTAATTCCTGAACGGTAAGTTAGACCTCAGACAAGCTTACGAAGACGACCTCCTAACTACCATTTCTATTGTCTTCAGGAATTTCAAGAAGGCAGCATTTTGGTAATTGGGTTTATCCGCAATACCCTAAACAATAATATAGATTTTAAAAATCTACACATATAAATGAACAAAATTTCTAAATACAATAAAATGAACAAACAGATGACAGGGTAGAGATTCCTTGTGGGGCCGCCTGGGGAATGTGTGAAGCGCGCCCCTCTGGCTCACGGGCACTTGCTGTTCGGGGAAGGGGCGGGCGGGGCATGTCAGGGAAAAAATTAGATCGCAATACTTCGGTAAAATAAAAAAGTTGAGAGGACAAGTTGGGTCGCGTAGTGAAACCTTGGGAGGAGACACTGAAATGGGTTTAATATCATCGCTAACCCCCCCCGCCCGACCAATGGCGAATGCGTGTATGCAGATGAGTGTGCATAAACCTCGGGCGAGGTCACTGGGGTACATTTTCTAGTGGAATCATCAACACCAACTAGAAAAAAGGTTAATACAGTACAAAAGTTGGAAGATTGTGGAAATCACCCTACTTAACATTTATAAGTAAGCGGTTATTCCCGTAATTAATTTAAAGAGCTAATTTCGCTTAGTATACTGATGTAAGTGGTTATGGTATGAGGTGACCTTCGGAGGACCACTATGCAGTTCAACGCCATCATCAAATTCCTGCTAGATCGTAGGACGGCGTGTAGAAAACTGCAAGAGTATGGGTAATTTAACCTACTTAAAACATTTAAGTAGGTCTCTATAATACACAAGGATCATTCGAACACCCTACAAGGAAACCCTACCGATGACAGTTATTAAAGTAGATTAATTTACCATCCTTATTTCTCGTCCACCGTTTCCATTGGGACAAAATGCTGGGACTAGGGATATATGAGGTGCACTAGTTAAACTACTGTTGTCGACCCTACAACTCCTTTGCGGGAAAAGTCGAAGATTACTCAATTTCCCTCATTTTTGGCACGCATTAACTGACACAATTATATTGTTAGTGTGTCCGATCGACCAGAATCTACCGATAGCAAACATAGGCTCCCCGAAGAATCTTCTGCGTTTGTTTATGTTCCCTCTATGCGCAAAATAAGGAACCCTTTTAACTCACGTCTCAACCCTTTGCAGCGCTTGATTTTCTTGATAGATTGCCTGATTACTCACCCATTTTGTACTGCTGCCCAGGCTGCGAGATTTTTCACAATTTGGGTCAACTTAAATAAAGCAAATCTGCCAACCACCCTTAATAAATGACATAGTGCCGTTTGTATCCCATCCTCAAGCCAAAATTGTACAGGAACATATTTGCGATTTTTTCGGCAGACAAGAGAGCAAATATTTGTCTCATTTTTTTAGCCATTCTCATTATGTTTGCTAGCTTCGAGCCGTCTTTCTTTGATTGTAAATACCCAAGTGCATGTATTCAAATACAATACTGATAATACTGTACTCATTCCGTTTATGAATGATAAACTTCTGGAAATTAGACAATAAAAAGATTTCATACCGCATGGGTAAAGCTTAACATGACTGTCTTAGGATGGGTTTGTGATAGATACTTTACGGCGTATTCAAAATTGAGGACATTTTAGATATGTTAGAACGAAGCATGGCCCCGGCGTTTAGGACCGTTTCCGAAGCATAAAATCACACAGATTTTTAAGATCAAATTTCAAATTTCAATGGGTGCTGTTTTTTAGGAAAAAGCTCTGCTTTCTCACCTGATTTATGCACAAAGAAAAAAGAACTTTCCAAGCAGGCACATTTTCGTAAACGGTTCCAGTTAAGCTTACTGTCCTCGCTTGGCGAAGCACGTAGATATTTTCAAAATTAAGCTGCGATATTAATAAGCATGCGAAATTGCGTGAAAATATAAATAGACATCGACTTATATTCAAGTCGGATAAAATAATTCACAAACTTACTGTGCATGAACTTGGGCTTATTTCGAAAGGTGTAAGCCCAATAACTAAACCGCACAACGTGCGATATGTTCCAAAATGACAATGTACACATTTGCGTAAGCAGTTTTGATGAGAAAAGTTGATTCTTTGAGCTTCAGTTCCTACTTTTGATTAATCCGACTCGGCAAATCTCTGGCGAAAATATCCTTGGTCCAGTTGGGTCCTCCGTATTGCTTCCGGCTGATAGAAAAGTCCGTCCTGGATGAACTGTCATCTCCCAAGGGAAATGACCGGCAATCCCTACCCCCGCGAAGCCGCTTAAAGAGGGTGCATGTATCAACTGAGCTTGCGCTTGGAATGTCCCCGACCCATCCCGTCCGCAATCCCACCCGTCCCACCTCCAACCTTCCACCGCCTAAGCCAGTCTAAAAAGTCGGCGGCTTATTCGCTTCTGGGGCGGAAAGGTGATGACAATCTCGCCCAAATGCCGCGGGCGAACACTACAAAAGTGATAATTTGTCAGGAGCAGAAAATGCATGACGCGGGCTTGCGCCATGGTGATGCGGTTGGTGCCAGTGGGTCGGAAATCTCGCAGGCAGTTAAGGAGGGCAATGCCGGGGGAGGATGGGGGGCGGTGAACTTTGACTCAGGGTTCTAGAAGCCACCAACCGAGAACTATGTTCGCTGTTGCTGCCAGTCTTTAGTTTAAAGACAGAGATATAAAAAATGGGAACTGAGTACGAAATGGGAGATTGCGACGTTAGTAAATTTCCATGGAACCGCAATAGAGCTTAAGTTTTGAGGCTACCTCTAATGCTACTTAGTGGTGTTTTGTAATCATTCGGTTCCTGTCTAGTCACCTTACGTTAAGCTTTTTGCCGCTTATGCCTGACGTGTGACTAGATAGTAATACGGGGCAACAGCAACTTACGTAGGCCTACTCATATACCCCTAGTCTTAGAATTATGTCCTGCAGAAACGGTGGTTATAGAGTTTTGGGGGTGGAA